CCAAAAAAAAAAAAAAAAAAGGAACTTCAATTTATTGAAAGGAGGGTACGGAATAAGGAAGTCTAAAAAGGAAGTAAGGGGACTTCCCTGGTGGTCCAGTGCTTAAGACTCCATGCTTGCATCGCAGGGGGCATGGGTTCAGTCCCTAGTCAGGGAACTAAGATCCCGCGTGCTGTGTGGCACAGCCAAAAAATAAATTAATTAAATTAAATTTAAAAAAGGAAGTAAGGCGATAAGGATGACAAAATGAGGTGTTTGACAGTGGATCTCTGCTTTAGAATACTGTCATTTGCTTGTATACAAACTGATTAACTCACTGGTTTTGTGTTAGAAAATAATTTCTTTTTGGAATTTAAATATCAATATATTTGTTTAAAAGTCTATACATACTTGTTTTTCTAGGAATAAATCAAAAAATTTGAATCCCTGACAGATATAGCCATCTTACAGAATTTTTTTAAACACCTTGCCTAATTTCTTGGTTGCCCCAATTTTAATCAAAACTGGGTTTCCTGGAATGAGTAGACTAAAGTTAAAGGAAATATTTTGGTCACTGTTCTTATGAAATCCTTTGCGGTTTGGAAGCAGTACTCCTTTAGCATTTCAGCAGCTTCATTCATGTTCCGCACACCATGTAGCACAATGATACAAGTAACTGAGCTTCGGAAGGAGAAGTTCAAATGCAGAACCTCCACATTTAGTGATTGAACAATAAAACTTTGGGGAGGAAAGTCAGAGTGGCTTTCTTAACTTTTATCATGGCACTAGTTATAAACCATTTAGTACTATAAATTTTCTTGGCAAGTACCTTCATAGCTCAGAAAATAATTTCTTGTAATGATTATTTTGTATTAGAAGCTGCATTGCTCTCAGAGTTTGCTCATTTGATTAGTAGAACTCTGATGTATTTTAAGTAATTGACACAGTCAGGAGAATATAGTCTTACCAGTAACCACAGATCTAAGATTGAAAGTAATGAGTTATCCTAATACTGAAATTGTTTCCAGTACTGAAATACTTTTAAACTAATTGTTCTCTGGATACTTCTTGCTGCTAATTAACATCTCTTTTTACAGGATTCATGAATAAAATTTTCCATCCCAACATTGATGAAGCGTAAGTAACTGTTTAAAAATGTTTAAATCTTAGCAGCAGCTGCTCTTGGTTAGAGTTCATCTCTCTGTTATAAAAAAACCTCAATTATCTTTTTGGATTTTAACAACAGATAGGGCTGTAAGAATGGTCACTTCCACTATAGAATCCAGGACTACGATATTCCAACTTAGTTCAGGGTCCATTATTGGACTGCTTGGTTTTTTCCACTGTCATGAATGGGTCCTTCATTTCCCTTGATATCCAGCTAACATTTGTAATATTCCATATCTCTGTTCTCTTTGTATAGACACTGTCCAGAGATCTGTCTTCAGTGTACAGATTATATTATTTTCAGCCCTTAAAGTATTTCTCAGTCCTTCCTTGAGAGTAAAGCAAACAGTTAATGAATCTTAATTATCCCTTTCTTTCCTTCTAACATTTTATTAGTGATATTTTAAAATGTGATATCAGTGCCTCCTATTTTATACTTCCAGTGCTATTTAGAATACTATTTGTCCTGCAGTTTTTCCTTGTCATGGCACTAAATTTTGATATTACACACACGCACACACGTGCATACATATGAAGTATTCTGAACTCTGAGAGGTTGTATGTATATATATACATCATGCCCCCTGCTGCTTTAATACTTTCATGTATCAGTCATCTTAACAAGGATGTTCTCTTATGTAACTGCAATATAGTTGTCAGATTCAGGAATTGAATATTAATGCAGTACTTTTTCATCTACTGCCATATTCTGGTAATGGACTTTTTAGCACTTTTTTTTCCCCATTCATTAAAGGATCCAGTCCAGTATCATCTGTTGCATTTAGTTGTCATGTTTCTTTAAACTACTTCAATCTGAAACCATTCCTCAGCTTTTTATAAAATTGACATTTTTAAGGAATAAAGACCAGTTATTTCATACTGTCCCTTAGTTTGGGTTTGTCTGATTTTTCCTTATAATTAGGTTCAGAGTATGCTCTTAAGGCCAGAAAACCAAAAAGTGAGTGTGTCCTCCTCAGGGTATACTTCTTGGAGGCACACAAGTTTGTCTGTTCTGATAACCAATGTTAATTCTCATCACATGGTTAAGGTGTTGTCTGGTTTCTCCATTGTATAGTTACTGGTTTTCCCTTTCAGTCTGTAAGTAGACACAAGACTCTGTGTATATTCTGCTCCTCATCATGTTTTCCCCAATTGGGATTCTTTGGGGTTTTTTTTGTTAAATGATCTATTAAAAATATTTTTCCTGATGATTAAACTAGTTGCCAGATACATGCAGCTAGCTTTCTAATTTTTTTAAAAATGCCATTCTTTCCATCTGTTTCAGGTCAGGAACTGTGTGTCTAGATGTAATTAATCAAACTTGGACAGCTCTCTATGGTGAGTTTGGCCATGGAATATTTTTTAGAGATGTTGAGACACTGCCTAAAAAAATGTTGTTTGGATTTTCTTCTCTGGTTTAAAATGTTTTGTTGGGAATGGGAAAGGATTTTGAAAGCCGGTGGGAAAGTTTAATCAGTGAAAAAAACGTTTTCTCATGAGTACAGACTTTGGTTTAGCAGTGGAAGTTTGAAATTATCTTGTAAGATTATGAAATTAATGTACAGTGTTACACATATGCAGACACACAAATACATATGCAGACATTTTATATATGTGTTATTCTGAAGCACATTGTAATCTGTAATGCCTTTTAGTTTTGGAAAAACTCTTAGGAATGTACCTTTGAAATGAGATGATGTATTAAGAGGTTTGGGGGATCATCATCTGTTTCAAAGGTGAAAACTTTGTTATGAAGCAAAGAATAATTTAGCCTTACCTTCAGTGCTGAAATTGACATATGATCTCTTACAGTGAATCAGCATGTAAATTGAGATCACAGAGAGAGAGAAGCCTTATCAGGCCTTGTAACTTGCTTGGGGAGCTAAAAGTATTTTTAAATATATTTAAAGTTTATTAGGGATACAACAAATCAATCTGTTCTCCCCACATGTCCAAGTTCTCAGGCTTCACAGACTCTCCGTCTTCTCGTGCACCCACCTCGTGAAGCTTCTCCCCTGATGCTCCAGCTGGAAGTAATCTCTGGACATGCCTAAATTTTATAGCTCTTTTTTTGTGGCCTGCTTTTACTTTCTACCTTGTGTTTGTTGTCTGTGCCTACATTTTCTGTGCTACTGGATTATTTCCTGCCCTAAGGGCTGTCAGGGTGCTGGTCTGATTTGTGTTTAAGTCCTGGCACTCCTAGCACGGTGCCTCGCACCAATGTGTTTGTAAGAATGAGTGGTACAGACAACAAACGCTTGCTGAGAGGTGCAGAGAGGGAAAGATCACTTCAGGCTGGGGTTACCTAGAGACGGCCTCCCCTTGTTGGAGAGTTGTGAGACCTTTTAGCGGTCTTAAGGTACATAAGACCCCTTATTCCAGCCACCATCTGCAAGTCACCTTGTTTGTACTAGGATGGTGATAAGAATCACAGAGGTTGGACCAGCAGCAAAGAATGAGTGGTACAGACAACAAACGCTTGCTGAGAGGTGCAGAGAGGGAAAGATCACTTCAGGCTGGGGTTACCTAGAGACGGCCTCCCCTTGTTGGAGAGTTGTGAGACCTTTTAGCGGTCTTAAGGTACATAAGACCCCTTATTCCAGCCACCATCTGCAAGTCACCTTGTTTGTACTAGGATGGTGATAAGAATCACAGAGGTTGGTCACCAGCAGCACACAGTTAATCCTTTTTTTTTTTTTCCTCCTCCTAATTCCTTCAAGAATTATTTCTTCTGCCTGGAGTTATCCTCCCTGATCTTTGTGTAGCTGGCACCTTCTTTTATCATCTCAAACATGCTTCCTTAGAGAAGCCTCCTTTCCTGGCCACTTGATCTGAAATAACACCCCTCCATACCACAGCACCCTCTTTTAAAAACCTTAAAATTTATTTATTGTTTATCTTGTCCTGTCAGATTGTAAGCTCCACAGGATCAGGGGCTTTGTCTCATGTGCGCGCATGTGTGCGTGTACATATGTACAGGTGCCTAAAGCAGTAGCTCATGTACAATGAGGGTTCACATATTTGTTGAATTAATAAGTGAATTAATCATGCCCAGTACTGTTTAACATGAGAGTTTTAGGGAAACGGCAGCTTATAAAGAGATGAGGCAACAAGAAAGAACATGTACACTGAGGTTGGTTAAAGGGATTCCTTTTAAGATGGTTTTTCGGTAAAAATGTCTTGTGGCAGGTTGCCTGGAATATCTGATGTAATGATGTATTTTCTTAAACTGAATTCACATTGTAGAAATATACATAACTAAATGCTGCAAGCTGGTTCCAATGACAATAAAGTAAATTGGACTTTAGTTTAACTAATTCTTTTACTACTGACCAGAAGAGCTTTGTGGAAGAGGTTTGCTGATTGTCAGGTACCTCACATCTCAGGACAGATTTTTTTTAAATAACAGTTTTATTGAATTATAACTCACATACATAAAATACACCCATTTAAAGAGTGTAATTTGATGATAGTTTTTAGTATATTCACAGTTATTTACAACCATTCCCACATTTTTATCATAGAATATTTTTATCACCTCAAAAGGAAACCCTGTACCCTTTAGCTATCATCCCCTCATTTCCCAGCTCCATCCCCCAGCCCTAGGCAATAACTAACCTTCTTGTTGTTTGTATAGATTTGCCTATTCTGGACATTTCTTGTAAATGGAATTATACAATATGTGGTGTTTTGTAACTAACTTTTTTACTTCATATAATGTTTTCAAGATTCATCTATGTTGTAGCATGTATCAGTACTTTATTCCTTTTTATGGCCAAATAATACTCTACAGATATCATTTTTATTTGTCAGATGATAGACATTTGGGTTGTTTACACCTTTTAGCTATTATGAATAATGCCTCTATAAATATTTGTGCACAGGTTTCTCTGTGGACATATGTTTTCATTTCTCTTGGGTATGTACCTGGGGGTAGAATTGCTCGGAGATATGGTGACTTTGTTTAACCATTTGAGGAACTATTTTCCCAGGTGGTACCATGTTAACATTCCTGCCAGCAGGTGTATGAGGTTCAGAATAGACTTTCAAGCAACAGGCCAACTTGACTAAGGTTTCATCACATCTATAAAATGTTAGAATATGTTCTTGTATTACCTTGCAAAGCATTTAGTAAGTAACAAGAATTAAACCACATTGATGAAAGTGAATTTTGATTTCTGTGTTACATGTGTACAAGTTACCATTAAGTGTTCCATAATACAAGAACATGAACACACAGGTAAGTGTAGGAAAGCAGGAAGAAAATATTTTTATAGTATAGTCAAAATTATACTCAGCATGGGAAAACTGTTCTGACATTTTTCTCAAGTCCAAACTGTTCCTCAAGAAAATTCAACATTTCTCTCATGGAAGGATTTAGGAGCAGGTAAATACAATCTATATGAAAGTACTGGTAGAAGGGGTTGGTTTAGATGACCTTGAAGTTTCTTTTAGGCTTATCTGATCTTGAGATCTAAACTCAATTTTTATTACAAGCTGCTAAACCCTCCGGCATTGAAGGTTAGTTTCGTCATTGGTGAATTTTGAATCACTCAATTTCCTGTTGTGATTCTTGAAGTTTAGTTCAAAGGACAAAAACAAATCTAACTTAATACAAAACAACTAATAGGAGAAAGTTGGCAAGTTCACACAGATATTCAACTGAAAAGCAAAAGGCTTAGCTTGGTAACCAAAACTTGTTTCAACTCTACTATGTAATATGGTAAGGAGCAGGGAGTTACTTGTGAAATTTCCTGCAATTAACTTTGCCCCAGGGCATGCATGTACTGTGCAATAGATATCCATATTTTTATTATAACAGCAGTTCCCAGATGAAATTCAGATTTATACTCATCATAACCTGATAATAAACAATGTTTATGCTTATTCCTCCACCACCCCTCACCAACTCCACAAAAGAAAATTGATTTCTGGCAGCCCATTTGACTCCTTGCCTCTGTTCTCCTCCTGTTTTCCTTTGCCAAGTGTACATGCAGTTTGTTCATTCAGAAGCTCAAAATTGGTATAATTGTAGTTTAATCACCCAGTAATTTAAAATTTTATATTTAATCTTGAAAGAGAGCATATTATAGTGGTTAATTTTGTAAAGAAGCTTGTCATCAATATGAAGCTGTCTATTGAGTTTGAAGTTACTATTGTTACTCTTTGTGACATTAAAAGGAAAGTAGCAGATGCCATCACAAAGTTGATTCATTTTGGCTTCCTGTATGATGGCATCTTTTTTTTTTTTTTTTTTACATCCCTTCGTGCTCTTGCAGGCAGGAATGATAAAAGCTCTGGAAAACTTAAAATTCAGCCAAAGGGATCTGGATTTCAATTTCAAAAACAACCGTAATTTTAAAGACTGATGAAAGGAAAGTTCATTAAGCCATAGGTAGCTTGTTTTCTGTTTTCCTTTTTACTCAAATATATTTTATCCATAGTTGTGTTTTCACCCCACACTCCTGGAAGCTCAGGTACCTTCACTGCAGTACAGCTTCAGTTTCCCTCCCGCCATTCTGAGCCATGCATACTTGACCCTCGCAAATTGTGTTTCTCTCTCCGACTTTCGTTTTACTCATTTCTTGACTGACTTGGTAAATTACTTATTTGTGGATTAAGTTGTGGACAAGTAATGTAGCAGACAATTTTCATATAAAAATTATAATTTTATAAATTATAAATTTATAAAGTTTATAATTTTTAATTTATAAACTTTATAATTTATAAAGTTTATAATTTTATTCTCACCTTTAGGGTTGTTAGCCCATGGACTGGATAGTCCTCTTATTTTGCTGGTGAGAAAAATCAACATTTGGGAAATTATTTCCCGTAGAGTCATTTGCTGGGGGCGGTCAATAACAGACAGATGAGTTTGACTACAACAAAAGGAATGCTTCAGGAACTTTGGCATTAGAATTAGGAGAAACAGTGCTTCTTTTACTAGGCATTTAGAAAAATTTTAAATCATAAATTTACTTAATAGTACTATGCTGTAACCTAATGATTTTAAGCGGCTAAATGAATTTAAGCCTTTTCATGTTGGAAATACATTGTTATTACATACCTCTTTTCAGTCAGGTAGCCTGTGAATCTTTCCAAACAATTCAAATTTTGGCTGAGGGTAACTTTATCTTAAAATAATGCTTTATGCTGCATGAGTGTTTGCTAGCTATGTTTCTAGACATTTTAGTATAGTTGCAGAGGTAAGAGATACATTTATCTATCTGCATGGATGATTGAGTGGCCAGCAACCACTGTTTCAACAGGCTTGAGAACTCAGTATTGATCCATCCATGTTGGAATCACAAATATCATCCTGCCTTTGGAACAGCTGG